GGCAGGCACAAAAGTGGGGGTGCGGGGGGTCCTTCTCAGCGTAGCTCAGGGGGCTCCAGAGCCAGCAGCGACCAACGCCGGCCGGAAACCACGTGGACAAGGACTTAATCGTTCCACAGTTCTGTGCTGTCCCACCTCCTGTCTGGGTGTCCAGTGAGGTGTGGCTGAGGAATGAGGGTGTGTGTGTGGGGGGGGGAGGGAGTGGGCCTGGGGAGGACAGGAGGCCTGGGGCCGGGAGCAGAGCTTTCCCAGGGCGAGAATAAGGCCCACACAGAAAAGGAGAGGCAGAGAGATGCCAAGAGCGGAGCTCGGCCGAGGAAAGTGAGCCCTGAATGGGAGCCTTGTGTGTGGCCCGGGGTATTGCCTCACCCAGGCGCAGGGGGGGGGACTCGCTGGAGATGAAGGGGCCTATGTACTGTCTTCAAACTCCCTGTCGCGCCGAGGACAGCCTGCTGGAGGCCAAACAGGCCCGGAGGCTCTGGGTGGGCCGGGGAGGAGGGGCGCTGGAGGGTGGGCACACAGAGGAGGGAGAAGGGCGAATGTCTGGAGAACAAGAGGCCCTTTGGGGAGGGCTGTGTCTGAGCCAGGACAGGGCGTGTCTCTCCCACGCAGGCAGGTGTGGCCGGTCAGACCCGGGATAGGTAGGTGCTCAGGGCTTGGTGACTCCCTGGCCACAGCTGAGCAGCTAAGGGTGCCTCCTGAGTAACTGCTTCGCAGAGACAGTCGGGACACAGCCTGAGTGTAGACACTCCACATCCTCCCCTCCGGCCTGGCCTCGCCTTAGCCGCCAAACCAGTTCCGAGGTATGAGGACAGGATTTTTGTGGCAACTAGGCCGGCCTACAGCCCTGGGCCGCGGACAGAGGGCAGGGCTGGAATCTGGGGCAGCTCAGGTGAGCGAGCTTGGTGCCCAGACACTGAGAGGATCAGGTGAGAGGGAGGAGAGCCCGAGGGAGCAGCCGGGGCTGAGGGTGCAATCCCGGGTCCCAGGGCAGCGCAGGTGGAGGCCGCAGAGCCAGTCCTGTCAGCTTGGCTGAGTCTCCTGGCCCTACTGGGCTCATCCTCATCTGTAATGTGGGCGCTAGGACGGAGGCTCTCAAAACTTCCTTCTTGTTCCAACCATCTCCCTCTTTTCTCCCCAGTGTCCTGCTTCTGGTGAGTCTCAAAAGCTAGCTAATGAGCGGATTCTCACTGAGGTGACTGGCTGGTGAGGGCTAACATCCTAGACTCCCCAGATGTGTTTTTCTGTAGTTCTGGCTACAGGATGGCCAGTGGGGGGAGTGGACTTGAAGATCAGTTGGATGGTTTGAATCCCAGCGGCGCCACTGAGTCAGCCCTGCTCGGCAGAGGGGCCTCGGGCCCTTTCCCGGCCCCGGGAGCCTTCATTCCCTGATGGGCCAAGTAGGAGCACCTGCCTCTCTCAGGATTCGTAGCGACTGAGTGAAGGAACATCCATAAAATCCCTGTGGAGAGTTTGGAACCGAGTAACTCACCCGGAGTGAGTGCACCCTCCTTTAGGGCTTGACGGTGACCAAAGGAACAGGGAGGAGTCGGGATGGAGACCGCGGCAGGAGGCTCACCGGGGACTAGGTTCCCCGGGGTCAGCGTGTGGGCGGGGGAGGAGATGAGGAAAGAACGCCGAGTTGTGGCCCAGCCAGTCCTCCTGGGGGGTTGACGCTGGGATGACCCTTCAGCGGTCCCTCGATTAGGGCCAGGGGCCAGGTCTTGAGACCCCTCACCAGCCGGTCTTCGGACATGAACTGCCCACGGGAGGAGAGGCGACCTTGGTCAGAATGGCTTTTCGGGTTCGGCAGTTCCCACAAGGGGCTCAGGCCGGTCAGCGCTCCCCACGGCGAGGGAAGACCTGGCGTCTCTGGTGCTGCCGGTGAGCAGGGCTCTTGTCGCATTAAGTAGGCGACTCCCCAGGGACCAGGCCCGTCTTGCTGGGGCATTTCCGGTGATTTCTCAGAACCGACCGCTCCTCGGTGCAGACCGAGCCACCCAGCACCCACCTCCGCTCCCCGGGCGCTCCTGCCAGGCCCTTCCATCCCCGCTGCGTTCTCCGTGGCCTCAGTTACGTTTCCGTGTTAATGCTTTGCTTCTCCCAACTAGACTGTTTAAAGGAAACACTTTCAAACTTGTTTTCCGTAATAGCTGCATTGGTTTCTGTCTTAAATAGTAAAGGAAAGTCTGTTGCTTGAAGGGAATTCTTGATCAGGTTTGATAATCCACTCCTGGGGGGTAGGGGTGGGGGTGGGGTGAGTGTGGTGTCTTGCTGGGTTAAACCTGCTCCAGTCCAAGAATCTGCCCAGGCCCTTATCTGGAGCCCAGTTTAGTCCACGGCAGAACCCACTCCTTCCATCCTCTCCCCGCCGCCCCCCTCCCCCCCAAGGGCCTGGGCTCAGCGAAACACAGGCAGTGGGGAGAGCGCAGCCTGGGGTTAGGTCCAGGCCTGGCCCGGTCCTCAGTGACCTCACTTGTGGAGCTCAGCAAGGCAACGTGCGTGTAAAGTCATCAGCATGGCCGGGAACCCAACTAGATATCTCTCGACTAGGAAATGCCTCTGGCAAGCCAGTCTCAGGAGCTTAGGACCCCTCCTTAGGTCAAAGGCAAGAACCAGTTTTTGAGTGAACTGGTGAGGGCAATGAGGCACCATTTCTCAGGAGATTACCCCCATCCCCTGGTCCCCAGGCCCATCCCCGGGCATCCGCACATGTACCAGGCTCCCAGGTTCTACTGAAGCAACACCAAGTTCTCCTCAGCTTTTCCCAATGGACTGGCCGTTGACAGGCCAGCTGACAGCTGGACATAGGTTCTCAAATAACACAGAAATGACTCCTGGGGAACAACGCTCACTGCCTACCCCTGACTCATGGGTATGCATACCCATCCAGCGTTCCAAAAGACATCTGAAATTTTGTTTCAAAAACTAAGCACCAGAATCGCTCTTTATAAATCTCTCTCTCTCTCTCTCTCTCTCTCTCTCTCTCTCTCTCTCTCTCACACACACACACACACACACACACACACACACACACACACACACACACTGACCAGGCAGCACGGCTGACAGGCTGTTATGGGAAACCAGATATGCCCCGTGTTTGTTGAAACGATCATTAATTGGCTTAAATGCTGGAAACTTAAGCTATGTAAACATCCACACTGTCTGAACATCTTTCGTACATCGAGGGACCTCCAAGTGCTTTTGTCTGGCTACGGCTCGCATTTACTAACAGAGCAGCAGCCACAGCAAGGGGCTGGGAGACGGGGTGTCTCGGTCCCGGGTGAAGGGAGAAGAGGCAGGACAAGCTGCGGTGTTGAAGTTAGGACACAATCGTGGATGGCTTCCGGAGAAATCATCGACCCAATTTGTATAGATCCGTGTTTTTTCCCCCCTTGGAATAGAGTCTATCTTTTCTTAGACTCTCAAAAGCTTCAGGGTCTCCAAGTGGGCTAACAGTGACAGATATTGGGAAGCTTCCTCCAGCTCTACGGTTCTAAAGAAAACCAGCACCCGGCTCCCTCTGGAGTCTGACTGGACGGGCCACGGACTCCATTTGGCTTGTGGAAGCCGTGAGCGAATGGCCTCTTCCCGGAACAGTGCAGGCCCTTGTTGGGCAACACGCTTCACTTTGTACAAACAAGACCGCTTCCCCCCGACAGTATGATTTAGCTTGTTTTAATGTCGTCTGCTATAAAATGGATGGAGATTTCGGCACGCTGCATTTGCTTTACAAACGTTAGTGACTGGTGAATGCCTGTGTTATGGGCTGCGCAGCATTATAATCTGTTGACCGGTAGGTAACACGGCTTTTTGCAACATGGGTTAAAATTCCAAAACTGTGAATCATGGAACTTTAACTCAGCACACACGACCTACGGCAAACCTAAATGCTATTCTAGAACGCCTAACTGGATTATTGGGTCCACTGCGGTATTGTGCTTTTTTTTATCTCAGAAGATAGGCGACTGGCAAAAATACACATTTCTTTTTCATCTCCCCACCCCCATGTTACACTGTAAAAGAAATACATTAGTCAGTGCACTTCCTAAGAAATAAACTTCCCCATAATCTCTCTCTCTATATATCTATGCCGAAATAAAGGAAGAGCACAATGCAGCCTTTAAGATTACCATTTAAAGCAAAGGAGGTAATAGCATTCTGGGACTACTGCCCCTCAATTTCATACGTTCAGCTATTTTATCAACACCACCATTTGGCTACGCCGGGAATAAAGCTCAGTGTGTGATTGCTTTGGGAAAGTTAAGACCCTCCCTCCATCACTGGTAGACTCTCTGGGGCATTGTTTTTAATTGTTAAGTATTGGCCTTCATCAAACCATAAGCTGTGGAGGCACCCATGTGCTCCCCTGTGAGTTAATTTCCATCACCTGCCCATCAACTCACTCTGGATTAAGAGGAAACAGACTTAAAGGATGGCAGGTCGGGGGCTGCTGGGTAGAGGTTGGCGAGAATGTATTGAGGACACCGTGTCCTGTGACGCCCATCCCCGTGGACACAGGGTCAGGTAACCGCTTTGTGTGCAACACAGAGTCGGAGCGGGGTTGTGGGCAGTCTTGTTGGGAGAGAGAGAGGGTCATTATGCTCCATGGACTCCGTTTCCTGTACTAGCCTGCAGGTTGGAAAGTCTGGAGGCCTTTGTCCTCACACACCTGCCATGATGGAAATAACTTAAATTTCTGGAACCAAAGGGATTGCAACTCGGAAGCTGTGTGCCAAACCCAGCTGTAGGAGTGTTTATCTAGCGGTGTTTAAACTGTTTTGGAATCGGTTCTGGTATTTAAAAACGAGGAGGTTTCTCATGGAAATTTGGATTTTATAAAAATGTGAGGAGCTGGTAACCCTGGCCCAGCATTCTTGCATGGCAGCACGGTGCTGGATGGACAGGAGGGGACTCTGAGTGGGGCTGGGCAGCCATGTGCTTGGCTCCTTCTCCACCACGGGCCGAGTGACACCCCACTCGTTTACACGGCCCGCTTAGTTTTGTGACACTAGGGTTAGTTTGGCGCTGCCTTTAAAAAAATTTAAAAAAAAAATTAATTTCAGAGAGGAAGGGAGGAGAGTTAGAAACATCAATGATGAGAGAGAATCACTGATGGGCTGCCTCCTACACGCCCCCAACTGGGCATTGAGCCCACCACCGGGCATGTGCCATTGACAAGAATCAAACCTGGGACCCTTACACTCTGTCCACTGAGCCAAACTGGCCAGGGCTGGCTCCGCCCTCTCATGAATCTGAAGACCTGACTTCATGTGAAATTTCCCCTTCTTCTGTGGGCACCATTGCTCCTTTGATTGACTGGGTTCCAGACCCATCTGGTTGCTTTGGTAGGTAATCTTAACATGCATTTCTACTCATCCTTTATGCGATATTGCAAACTCCAAAGTTACATTCACACTAATATTTATGTGTTAAACACGTAAAGGGATGTGTGTCTATACAGATAGGTGATACTTCCATTTAGGCAAAAGTTAATTTGGTTCCACAGACAGACACCAAGTGCTGGCAGCCGGGAGAATAAGAGTAACACCTTGGTAAAACCTATATAATTTTGATTTATAGTACAAAGAGCGAATCTTAAATTATTGCTTTTTGATCCCAGAATAAAGATCTCATTCTGTGGCAAAACTTGGATACAGAAGGAGTAACCAGTTCCTATTCAAGTAATAGCAATCGGAATCAGAAGTTCCTTACAAACAGTAGATGCCTGAAGACATTTTTTTGAATGGAGATGTGATTGCATTCTATTCCATAATGTACGCAGGACACCGGGAGGGAATTACCCTTTCAAGAAAGAGTACAGGAAATCAGCACCTCAACTGCTTAATGCTCAGGAGGGCTTCGCAGGGTCTAAAAATCTGTGGCTGGTGGCGAGCTCACACCCACCTTAGGATCCCCACTCTACTTACGCAGCTTGTAGTATCAAAAACAGTAAGAGAGGATTAAAAGCAGTGCTTGTGTTTAACATTCAGGATTCACAGAGGATCTAATTTTCTGCAATTAAAACGAGCCGTTTCGTGTTTTTTTTGCTGCAGAATCACATTCACGTGGCAGTCTTATTTCAGGCACTTTTAAAACATGTTCATCTGGCATAACAATCTGCATGAACCACTCCTGCATAATTCAAAATGTGTGTCGAGTGATTCTGGTCCTAAAATAGACAGCAAGTCACCGCCTGCTCCTCACTCGGCTCCCGCCACCACCACACCGCGGGGACTGCCGCGCTTGGGGTGTCTTTGAGGCGCCCTTCTGGCGTTACAGCACAGAGAGGTGAGTCATAAAAACCCGAACTACTCACGTCTCTACTTAAAAAAAAAAAAATACAAAAATGTGAAATACACTCAATGTATTAGACAGATGGTCTCCGCTACTATCAAAATAAATAACATGATCTGACTCCGAGCTCTTGGACAGGATCCAATGGAATGTCAGCTGTGCAGACCCCTCGGGGACTAGCTGCTGGGAGGCAGGAGGATCTCGGCGTCCTTGCCGTTGGCCATGGCAGAGCTGGCCAGGTCCTCGGCGGTGGCCCCCGAGGACGCCTGGGAGTGAGTTTTGGCCAGCGGGGCGGTAGCGGAGGGAGAAGGCGTGAGGCCAGGCTTTTTGGGTGGGATGGGCGGAGGGTTCCCTCTCTCGGCTCTGGGGATGGTGGGGGACTTGATCCCCGGAGACAGGGGGCTCAGGGGACTGGCCACTTTGCCCGGAGTGGGGGAGTGGCTGGTGTCGCCCCTCGGGGTGGCGGCGCTGGCCAGGTTGCGGTAGTCCGTGCCGAAGGGAGAGCTGTTGGGCGAGACGGGCTTGATGGGCCCCTGCTGGCTGGTGAACCTGGACAGCACCTGCGTGACCGTGTTCCGGGCCAGCTGCTTGGCAGCCGAGTTGTCCAGGAGGGTGGGGGACAGGTCCCGGGACGGGGGGCTTTGCAGCCCGCTGGCTTGCTGGTCCTGGTCGGCCTGGGACTGGAATTTGTGCCGCGCCGCGTGGAAGCGCTGGTTGACGCCCACTTGGTAGGAGGACTGGTAGCCGGGGCTGCTGGCCGAGGGCCCCAGCAGGCGCTTGGTGAGCACCGGGGACGAGCACGGCGAGGACGTGAGGGAGGAGGAGGCCGTGCTGCTGGGGGACAGCGAGCTGCTGCCGGACGGCAGCTGGCCCGGCGCGGGGCCCGGGCTCTCGGCGCCCCCGGCGCACCCCCCGTTCTCCACGGCTTTCTCCTGGGCCGAGCCCGCGGGCTTCTCCCGGGGAGGCGGCTGGCTTTCCGCGCTGCTGCCTGCGGTGGGCTCCTTGGTCGCTGGCATCTCTGGCTCAAAATGGCCGTTGGCTTTTGCATAGCAGTAGCCGGGCGTGGCGGGTCCGGGCAGCCCAGTGGTTGTCGTCTTGGCCACGCTGCTCCCATGGGTTCTCTCTGCCTGAGAGCCCTCCGTTTGGCAGGACACAGACACCAGCCCGCGAGGCTCGGTCGCCGTGCCTTTAGACGCGGCCACTGGCTTCTCCGATGGCTCATTAGAGCGGCTGTGCTGGCGCGAAGCTTCCAGGTCCCTCAGGACCTTCTTCAGACTCTCCAGCTCTTCCCTCAGGGTCCTGGTCCGGTTCTCTTCTCGGTTCAGCTTGGCCCTCAGCTGCTCCCTTTCGATGTCGAACTCGGACAGCTGCTTCTCCACGCGGGCCTCCGTCTGCAGGCCGCGCCTCCGCTCGGCCGCCAGCGCCTCCTCCAGGGCGCCCGCCCGGCCCTTCTCCTTCTCCAGCTGCAGGCCCAGCTCCCCGGCGCGCTGGCCCTCCTCGGCCGCCTTGCTGCTGGCCTTCTTGCACTCGAGCACCAGCATGGACGACAGCTGCTTGTGGCGGGCGCGCTCCTCCTCCAGCTGCCCCGACAGCTTCTTCTGCTCCTTCTCCAGCTTCTTCACCTGCGACTTCTCAAATTCCAGCTGGGAAGCAAGACCACACCATCCCGATTAGAGTAAAGGCACAGAGACACGCCGGACAGGTACAGCTAGAGGGCCCTGGCTCGCTCTTCTTGCACACGAGACGACACGCATGCCACGTGCCTAGCTAGGTCAGATATTTATTTTGTTAAAATATATGTTTGTATTGATTTTAGAGAGGGAGAGGGAGAGATAGAAAGATCAATGATGAGAATCACGGATCGGCTGCCTCCTGCACGCCCCCCCGCTGGGGATCAAGCCCACAACCTGGGCCTGTGCCCTGATCGAGAATCGGACCACGACCTCCTGGTTCTTAGTTGGTACTCAACCACTGAGCCACACCAGCCAGCTTAGGTCAGATATTTCTAACAAAAAGACACACGCAATTTAATCTCTTTGATGACGTAGGAGGCCCCTCTAGTCCTTGCGAAGCCTCAGGGGTGCTGGTGGGGACCTGAGCCACCATCGTGCTCCGGGGGGGTGGAGGGTTCAGAGGCCCGCGAGCAGGTGAAGGAGGCTCTGTGCTGGGAGCCGCCGGAGAAGGAACCTAACGCTTCGGCACAACTCTCTCTGGGCTCAAACCGGGACACCAGTGGTTGCATTTAAATCACTTTTCACACAGATGCATTCTGTTTTAAGCATTATCCCAAACCCACTTACAGGGAAGGCGAAAGAACCCTTTTGGTCAGCATTTGTCAAATGTTGAGATCCATTCGCGGATGGGGAAACCAAAGCAGGCCGAAACCGGTTTGGCTCAGTGGATAGAGCGTTGGTCTGCGGACTGAAAGGTCCCGGGTTCGATTCCGGTCAAGGGCATGTACATTGGTTGTGGGCACATCCCCGGTGGGGGGTGTGCAAGAGGCAGCTGGTTGATGTTTCTCTCTCATCGACGTTTCTAGCTCTCTATCTCTCTCCCTTCCTCTCTGTAAGAAAAAAAATCAATAAAATATATAAAAAAAATAAAAATAAAATAAAAGATAAAGCAGAAGGGAAAATATCCATGTGTGTTTTAAGGGTTATGTCTGATTCCATGATATTTTTGTTTCAGGCCTATGTGTATAGAACTGGCTGTGATGTAAAATGTTTTGCCCTGGCCAGTTTTGCCCAGTGGTTAGAGTGTCAACTCACTGGATCTCGGGTTTGATTCCTAGGCATGTACTTTGGCTGCAGGTTCGATCCTAGTTGGGGCCCGTGAGGGAGGAAGTAGTCAATGTGTTTCTTTAACATCGATATTTCTCTCTCTCTTCCCCTTCTCCCTCCCTCCCACTGTCTCTCTAAAGACCAATGGGAAAAAAATATCCTCGGGTAAGGATTAAAAAAAAAAAAAAAAATCACAAATAAAATGTGTTTCTACCATGAGTCCTAAGTCAGAAAGTCAGTGTTTGATGTTAGTGCAGCCTCACAGGCAGTGATTTATATCAAGAAAAGGGGCTGACTGGTTTGGCTTGGTGGATAGAGCATCAGCCTGTGGACTGAAAGGTCCCAGGTTCGATTCCAGTCAAGGGCATGTACCTTGGTTGCGGGCACATCCCCAGTAGAAGGCGTGCAGGAGGCAGCTGATTGATGTTTCTCTCTCATCGATGTTTATAACTCTCTATCCCTCTCTCTTCCTCTCTGTAAAAAAATCAATAATATATATTAAAAAAAAAAAAAGATTTTATGAAAACAAAGATGTGCTCGATGCAGAAGACCCTGACTTTTCCCTGCAGACTCACAGTGCGCATGGGCGTACTAGAAGGTCTGAGAAACTGAAGTTAGGAACCTGCTTAGCTTTGTCTAGTCCAGCTTACAGCTGGCAGGACAGTCTCTGAGGAGGGCTGCTCACCTGCTGGGTCAGCCTCTCTCGCTCCTTCTCCAGCATGTAGGTGACGTCATCGCCCTCTGCGGTGTCCTGGGCGTGCCTCTGCCTCTCCTCCTCCAGGTCTAGGATCACCTTTAAAGAATTTAAAAAAAAAAAATCATTTCCAAATAGCAAGTGATCACACTGACAATGCAATGAACACTAGGCGCCTGTCTAACGAAGGTAAGGGCTTCATAAAATAATCTACGCAAAAGCCAAAACCAGTTTGGCTCAGTGGACAGAGCTTCGGCCTGTGGACTGAAAGGTCCCAGGTTCGATTCCAGTCAAGGGCATGTACCTTGGTTGCGGGCACATCCCCAGTAGTGGGTGTGCAGGAGGCAGCTGATCGATGTTTCTAACTCTCTATCTCTCTCCCTTCCACTCTGTAAAAAAAAAAAAATCAATAAAATATATTTATTAAAATAAAAAAAAACTTTTCTGGGTCTTGTACAACTCTGAGAATGCAATGAAAGATAAGAGGAAATTTTCATTTTCTATAAGAATGAGCAATTCTTTGGCATTCTGTGTACTTTTAGGGGGACCATGAACCATCTGAGGCCCATCCATCGTTGAGAACCCGCACTCTGACCTTCCCTGTGGACTGTGTGAAGGGACAGGAACCCCGTGGGCGAGACCTGAGCCTAAGCAATTTGCCACGTGTTTTGAGCAAATGGCTCCCGAATGCAGGTAACCATAAAAGTAAACGAAGGTCCATCAAGCTGCAGCTGCTAACCCAGTTTTCCAGAATAAGTTGCTTCCTACTAATTGCGCTGATGTCCTCCCCGGTGGGCATAAATCCAAACCAGTGGGTAAAAGGAAAAAAAGCAGATTCTAGCCACGCATGTTTTACAGCCAGATCTGAGCAGAAAATGACAAGAATGAGAGTAACATCATAAGCACTAGAATTCCAAAGAGATGAGGAAAGCACAGGTTTGCCTTCTGAACTAGGGGTAGAAGGCACGCGCGCGCACACACACACACACACACACACACACACACACACACACTTTCCTACGAGGTAGAACAGCTTTAAGGTAAACAACTCTGGGTACTGTTTATGGTTTCATGAGAAATGAAATGCAACGAAACAAATGAAAATAATTCAATGGCTTATAGTAAGGTAAATTCTCTCTCGTTTGCTCATTCCCCAAATACCTGTTAATCTTTCTATGTATCACGTCAGTAAGCAAACAGAATGCTCCGTTCAGCTACAAGCTTGGTTACACCCTGGTTTGCTGCCAAAGTTGGAATGATGGAGAGCCGAGAAAACATACCCAGTGTTTGGAGTGCCCTCGCCAGAGGAATGCTATCTTGGCTGTGTCTGGCACACTCCCTAACTTAGCATGTGCCACGGCCTGGTTCTCTTTCCTGCCTCCTGGCTCCACGGCGAGCTAAGGGGCTCTCTGAGACCTGGGGAGCCTCCGATGGAGTCCCTGTGAGAACTGGCAGCTGACAGGCAGCATCAGGCTTATTTATAGTCTCCCCAAAAGCTTACGCAGCCCCCGCCCCCGGGCCAGCCCACCTTGCGGTGCCTGCTCTCGGCGGCGGCCAGCTGGGACAGCATCCGCTCCTGCATGTTCTTACACTGCTTCATCACCACCTTGAGGATGGACAGGGGGTTGGTGCAGACCGGCTGCTTTTCGCCATCGTTTTTCTCCTTCAGCGCCTCATAGTCTCTCTGCAGAGCCATTAGAGGGTCGCTGATGTTGTATTTTCCATAGCGTTCTTCAATGAAAGTGTCTCTGTGCTGTGCCTGGGAAGAGAAGAAATTGCATTGTGCTTTTTAAAGTGACCGAGGAAAGGGGTCTGTAGTAGTTACCCATGAAAGGGGGTGGGTAGTATGAACAGAACCTGTTGGCTACAGATCCGATGGAGCCATCTAGATGTAGAAATGACATCAGAATGGGGCACAGGATGACATTAACGGGAATACTTATACGGAGCTAACTGCGTATTAGACGTGTTCTGAGCGTTCACATTAACATGAGCTTATTTAAATTTACAACCCTCTTCGGCGGTGACTTCATCTCCACTTTGCAGCTGAGAAAACTATCAGGAGAGGTCAGGTAACCTGCTCCAGGTTACTCATCTAGCAAGTGGTCAGACTGGGACTTACTAGACCCTCGCACCTGGCTCTCAGGTTAGTGTCCTCAACCATCTCACTCCCGGCTTCTGCTGGGGAGGCCTTATTACCCTCAGGAGTATCTGATCTCTCCTTTCTGAGTTATAGCTCCTGCATTTCTAAAATATGCTAGGCATGAAGTATGGCGAGTTTACATATTTAGAGCCCCGTCCGGGCGGCTGCAGATAAGTAAAGCATGCTAAAAATGCTTCTGGATTGTAATCTAGGACTAGCTGTGACTTTTACAAACAACTTCACTCGGTTGGTGGGTGGAGAGGGCAGAGGCACTTACGACCAGGGGAGCAAACCCCTTCTAACCTGCTGCCAAGGCCCACCCCGTCTTCTGTCTCTGTTCGGCTGCGGCCTCCATCCCGCTCTGCCCCCTGGGGTGGTGAGCTTTGAGGATGAGAGAGGTCAGCGGGGAAGGCATGCTGGTGCCCATCGAGTCTCAGGACCAGGAAGGGAGCGGAAAGATATTCTCAGGCTTCCGCTTCTCTCCTCTCTGCTAGGAAGGACGGAAGTCCTCCTGCGAAGGAGCAGCATGGAGTATGTGCGGCAGACAGAGTGACACGGGCAATTACTTTACTCCACGTGTTAA